CCCCAAACCCATTCTAATTACTAAGGCCCTCGAGGCTTGTTGAATGCTAGGGCGAACCCAACCTCTGAGCCTTCACAACAATCGTAGGGTTTAGGGCCAAGTTTAGGGTCTAGGGTTACTGTTGATGATTTAGATCCTGCATGACCTTATAAGGACCCTAATCTATGGGAACTTTGGTATATGCCTTATTATGGGTAAGGCAGGCTTTAGATCATCAACCCTAATCCTCCTGGGGGTTCCTTCCTAGTTTACTAAGGCTCCTACATACACCTTCATAGTAAGAGCCCAGAATGCCGACTCTAGAATCGAACAAACAGGCAGCGAGTGGTGTAGTGCAAGAATTCCAACATAGCATTTTGGGGGTTGGCAGAAGTCTCGGATATAGATCCTAGACGCTAAGCAGCTGAAGCTTGTAGACTTATAGATCCTACTGTGTTGGGCCTTCCCCTTGATGCTGAGCAGTTAAATTTTAGACTCCAAACCGTCAATTTGGGTTTAGGACCTATATATATATATATATATCATTGGCCTGAAAAGCGCCCAAGTCGGAACCTCAACCCTTGTAGTCAGCCTGACAACAACCTTGTTTTGCAACTTCTACGGTGACCTTTCTCCTAATCTTGTTTGGAGGTCGCAGGCTATAACCCTATGGTAGCCATCATTGCGGATCAGTGCCCCCGCCATTGTGCCCCAAGAGTCGGTTGGAGCAAGTGGTTCGAGCAGCCAGGGCCGAACATGGCTGCTCAGCCCCGATGTTCGGAGGAATTCATGGGCAAGAGAAGGGCCTTGGGTTCAGAAGCTGCCATTGCCAGCAATGGCTATGCGCCGGCCGATTTGACCCAGCTGAAGCTGCATGCCGTAGCAGGGATGATGAACCCTTTCAAGCCTCTGGAGCCCTAAGCCTTATAAACCCGAAATGCAGATTCAAAAGCCCCTGACGCCTCATCCCAGGAGCAGTGGCCCTTGTCCATGCGGCGGCGCGTGCGGGCGCGCACTCGCTGATGCGCGTGCCAGTCGCTGGCCTTGATCGGTACTTTCAGGATCTTTCAGGGTTTCGGGCTTTGGGCCAGTTTTGATTGGGTGCGTCTGTTTGGGGCATTTGGGGCTTAGGATTTAGAGGGTGTGTAGGTTTAGCTCTTGCGGCTTTCGATGAGCGGGTCGAAGCGAAAGTGCTTTTCACCTGTAGCCTGTAGGGTACTTAGGGGGGATCATGAGACTTACCAAGTAGGTAGGCAAAACAAGTGGGGGGTGGTGGCGGCATAGTTGGAGCTAACCTCGTCCAACAACCCTGTTTGCCTTGATCATCACTCTGTTTAGATGTTTGATTTCTCCTAGCAGCATCGCGTGACTTTGGGCTTATGGTGGTGGAGTTTAACTTTTGTCCGGTCTGTTATGCTGTACGCCCAAGTCCATGACGAGTTGTTTCCGGCTTCTTATCAGGTGTGCAACACGTCCTTCGGGCCTTGGAATGTTAGAACAGACCCTTACATGCAAAAAGCCTCAGCCCTAGAAGTGCCAAGTCACACAGTCTCTGGGCAGAAGCACCCGGACCGCCCAATGCCCTGTGCCGAGATCGCTGGCAGCATTCTTGTCTACCAAGCTGTCCCATGCCCATGGCAGCATGTGATGCTCATTCTTTCGGCGCGGCGGCTAGATCAGGATCTAGGGCTTGATACCTGCATTTACAATTGGCAGACCAGACACTGTGCTATGCACCAGCGCAGTCTTGAGCTTCTGGGGCCTGGAGGTGCAGGGATTGACTTCCCACCATCCTTCATATTTAAACTCGCCGTGGCCGCTGGTGGTCTTTCTCCTGGTAGTCCTCGTGGCGGCAGATGCGATCCTCGTTTTGACAAAGACCGGCGCCGCGGACCCTCTGGACCTACGCCAGGGGCAGACAGGCGCTGAAACGCAATGATCTGGTTTCCTGACCATCCTCTGAGACGTTCTCGTCGGCGGGGCTACGTACCGTGCAGATGTTTCAGGGGTGAGAGTGAGGGTTTACACTTTGTGCCTCTCTGTGTGCACTGCCGTTGATATGTAGATCTCATAGCTAATGCCCGATGAAAACGGTTAACCTCAAGCGCGGAATTCCCAAACCGCAATCCTAAACCCATTTAGAAGCCTAAACCCTATAGCGCCTATAGGCCCTGGTTTCAACCGCACTTGCGCCCCTTGCCCTAAAGCGCTACACCCACCCTGCACCTTAAACCCTGAACCGCAGTTGGATTCCAAACCCTGCAGCGTTAAACTCGCCCTGAACCATAAGCCATGAACCGTAGTCCCGACCCTAAAGTGTTAAAACGTTAACCCCACCATGCGTCCTAAGTCCTGCCGTAGTTACACACCAGGACCTGAAAGAGTCCTGATAGAACCCTTTTCATGGCATGCAAGGATCCCCGAAATGCCCTTATATTACCCGTCTAGAAACCCTATAGAAGCCCTTGTAGATCCGTTTGAGGAACCCTGAAAGTATCCCCCTATCATCACTCTTCGCCCAGGCATTGAGCCAGGCGCACCTGCGGAGAGCGCTGCAGGTCGGCGTGGAAGGCGCCGGGCGAAAGGAAGGTGGTTTCGGGGGTAGGGTTTAGGGCTTTGGGCTTATAGGGTTTCGGGTTTAGGGTTTAGGGCTGATAGGGTTCAGGGTTTAGGGTTTCGGGTTTACAGGGTTTAGGGCGAGGATTTTATGAGGGTTCCACAAGGCTTTCTGTTAAGGTTTGGTTTAAACGGCCTGTTTGAGGGTGATTAGATATAACAGAGGGGTAGAGACATGTTCTAATTCCATGTTTCCGGGGTTTGGGTTTAGTTTACGGCTCGAGAGCTGGGAAGAAGTGATTCTGCTTATTTTGTAACAGCCTGCCAGCGCAGACTCATGACGTCAGGATCTGTTTCCTTTATAGTTTTGGGATATTTTATAATCTCAATATCATCCCACACGTTCCCCTTCAGCTCCCCCTATGGTAAAGACCCCTAAACCCTCAACCCCACACCCTCAACCTCTTAACCCTAAGCCGTAGAGAGTTTCTGAGTTTGGCAATGCGCAGCCTCGACTCTAAGCTTGAAGTTAAACTAAACCCTCACCCTGAGCTCTCAAAGGTTTGAGTTGGAACAAGTAAACACTAAACCCTGAACCCTCAACCCTAAACCCTACACCCTAAGCCCTAAACCCTAAACCCTAAACGGTTCTTGAATTGAGTAAACCTTAAACCCTGAACGGTTATTGCGGTTTGCAGCCGTAAGCTGCAAACTCTACAGTCGCCATGAACTCTGAACCGGCAAGATTCAAGACTCAATCCCTACATGGCTAGTTGTCTGAACTAGGGTCAGCTTTAGGGTCCTTTCTATAATAGTGCCGTACTATGCTGGGGACCCAAAAAGGAACCCTGATTTAGAGAACTACCTACATTGACATTCCCGCCAAGAGGGAAAGCCCTCAACCCCAAACAGCAAAAGCCCCTCTGCAATCCGTGCTCTCTCAGAGGATTAGCGGGGACCCTCTAAGTAGGTTGCAAAGTAAGCAGGAGAGCCTGTTTATGAGCCTTCCACCCCTAAACGCTGCGGTGAGAAAGGGTCCGGTTAAAAAAAAACCCTATAAGCCCTACACCGGAACCTTAAACCCCTAAACCCCTAAGCCCAAAGCCCTAAAGCCCTAGACCCTAAACGCCTAAGCCCCAAACCCTAAAGCCCGAAACCCTGAACCCTAAACCTTATAAACCCTGATATCCGAAGGCCATTTACCGAGCCCAGGGAGCTTCATACACCGATCCCCCAGACTCCCACAGCCCCCAATCCCCAAACCCTCAAAAGCCCTGAAGCCCTAAGGCGCTAAACGCTAACAGTGGTTTAGGGTCTAGGGTTTAGGGTTTAGGGCTAACAATCCTAAGCTCCAGCTATCAAAGCTGTCGCAGGGATCATCCTTCCCGGCGTCGAGTCAGCAGAGGCGCTTTGACTTGGATTCAAGGTTTAAGGGCTTCGTGCTTAAGAGTGCAAACGGTTGGGGCTTAAGGGTTTCTTAACCGTTTAGTAAGCTGCGGGGTTTAAGGCTGCGGCTTTGTAAGGTCTTGATGAGGTTTAAGTCAACGGTTTGGGGCATGTGGAGTTAGAGGATTAAGTATTCAGGCTTGAAGAGTTTAAGGGTGCAAGCGTGTTAGGGATTCACTTTTCAGGTTCTACTGATTTTCGGTTGATTTAAGGATTTATAGGGTTTAGGGGCTGGAGGCACATAATCTTACTGATAGTTATAGCAATGCAAGGATATACGGTAAGAATCTGTAGCACCGATACAGAATGTCATAATACATATATATATATATATATATACACACACACACACCTGTATCTATATTTATAGATATAGATACGGATTTCGATATAGATATGGATTTCGATAATATCTAGTTTCCATATCTATATCTATATCTATTGTACCTGATGGTTAAGGCCCCAGCAATAGCCGGTTCGACCTGGCAGCTTCCCCGTTGCCGCCCACAGGAGGCACATGCTTTGGTGGAGTTGTGCCTCTACCCTTCCAGGACACTGGTCGCTGGGCTTTAGGGGTAGGCGTTTTAGGGTTTTGGGAGGGTTGAGGTTTCCGGGTTTAGGGTGTATGAGCCGGTTTAGTAGCTTTGGGGACACCGGAGATCGGGAAGTTGCACGTACTATCCGATGCAAGCCCCAGAAGCCTAGATCCAGAACCCCATAAGACCTTTGTGGAACCTTACTTGGTAGCATGTTTATGTTTCCGTGTTTTGTTTTTGTTTCTGTCTGGGTCCTGACCATAAAGTTTCATGAACGTCGGCCCGTCGGCTAGCCAGAAATTACACCGAGGATATCAGAGAGCAAAGGCAGGGCGCCGGAGCTGGGATCAATCACAGCACGAGAACTGTAATCTTCCAGGTGTAGACTTTCAAGATTTAATTACGGTAGTGATGTATGTGTGTGTACATGATAAACAAATAAAAATATTCATTTGCATATCACAGACATACTTATTCTGACACAGACACATAACCATGCACGTTACTATTTGCGTACAGCTACATGTGCAGACTGCCCACAGTCACCATTAATAATCACATGTGTGCAGAAGTACTTGCTTCAAGGGCTTATGTAGATGCCCATACGTGTGTGTATGTATGTATGTATGTATGTATGTATGTATGTGTGTATGTATGTATGTATGTATGTATGTATGTATGTATGTATGTATGTATGTATGTATGCATGTATGCATGTATACAAAGATATACATGCATATATACATATGTACATATGAATACACACACACACACTTTCACTCATGCTCTTGTTGAGTTTCTTACATTGTAAAGCAATCTGAAACTGCTTTAGTTACATCCGGCGGAATCTGGTGATTGCTAATGACCTGTTCCGCTTGATTCTTCCGTTATCCAACCAAGTGCGTGCATTAGCGACAGTGTGTCTCGATACAAACACAGGCTATCTACTTCTGAAGTCGAAGCGATTCAGTGATCTATAAATGAAGGCAGGTATCCCCTGGCAACCCAGAGATCCTCTAGGTACTCCTGACGGTATGTACGAAAGCTCAGCTATCCCCCGCTGAGATTTAAGCCAGCTCCGGTATCTCCTGAAAAGGAAACTTAAGAACTCCTGTCATGCCATCTAGCAAATGAGGGATCTCCCTTCATCTGCGAAGAAACGCAGGAAGGCTCCGTTTCATCTGCAGGAAACGTTTTGTTGTGGTAGAACGGTGTTCCGGTTGGATTTAGCACAGGATGCTCGCATTTGTTCGATCACACTTGTGACGGTTACGCCTCCAAAAGCCGATTCCAATCATTAAGGCCCCCTTCCGATGTGGTCCCTCGTCTAGGCAGTTTTCGACAGTAGTTTGTTCAACTTTAGTAAGCTCCACATTGAGAGGGGACCAAGCTGGTACTACTTCTAAGTTAGGGTTTAGAGTTTAGACTTTCGGGTTGGGATCCTAGACATAACCAACAAGGTAGGCAGCGCAAAGGGGCAACTAAGGATCTAGGTACATAAACCGCAAACCGTGCAAGCCCTATAAGCCCTAAGCTAAGCAAAGCCCCAAACCCTACATCTGAACAAGCTCCGAACTCTAAGCCATAAGCCACAAACTCTAAACCCTACCTAAAGCCCCCCCCCCCCCAAAGTGGGTAACATAATGGCCCAAAACCTAGAAAAGGCTACTATTCTACATACTTTAGGGGTCCAGGTAGGCCCTAATCCCCCACACACCCTAAACCCTAAACCCTAAACCCTAAACCCTAAACCCTAAACCCTAAACCCTAAACCCCAGCCCATCGCAGGAATCTTCGAGAGGACAGCCACGCGTCCGAGGCAAGGGTTCCCTTTGGAGAGGCTTTGGGGGCAGACTTCGGGTTTAGGGTTTAGGGTTTAGGGTTTAGGTTTTAGGGTCGGATGACAGGTTGTATCTAAGGTTAGAAGTGTGGGCCCCAAATATGGACCCTTATATAGGCCTTTTGGGGGGGATTGGAGGGACCCTTATGTTTCCATATCGGGTTCAACCGATAGATCGTAAGGTCAAGAGGCAGAATGCCCCAGGATCGCAGTCAGGCCGACAATCTATTTTGCAGCGAGGGCATATGAGATGCTGAGTATATACAGGGTTTAGGGTTTGGGGTTTCGGGTTTAGGGTTGCTATAGGGTTTAGGGCAGGTGCCCAAAATACACCCTTGAAAGGATGGGCAGCCCTGCCCCGTACAGCCTTCCAACAACAGCCCTAAACTTACCCTAACCCTCTAGGCGAGGGTACTAGAGCCCCTAGGGCCCTCTATAGTAGGTACCGGAGGGGTAGGGTAAACCCCATGAGCCCCAAATCCGAACTTAGGGTTTCAGGGGTTTGGGTTTTGGGGTCAGGGGTTTGGGGTTTAGGGTTCTAGGGTTTAGGGGTTTAGGGTTTAGGGGTTCAGGGTTTAGGGGTTTAGGGCTTAGGGATTCAGGGTTAAGTTCGAAAACGACACCCGACATCCGAAGCCTACACCCTAAATCCGAGACCCTAAACCCGAGGCGCGCTTGAAGAATCAGCCTTTCCGCCGGATGGACTTCAGCTTTGCCTGGGCCCCAAGTCCTTGAGTTTTGCCGGATTTGGCGGATATTTCGGAGATCGTTTCTTGTTCGTGTTAGTGTACGGTTCGGAGAGTTCGCTTTGGCGTTTTTGGTGGATTTTGCTTTGCATGTCTTCTGGTTGCGGGATTGCTTGCCGGGTTCAGGGGTTCCGGGTTTCGCAGCAGTTTAACGCATGAGGTGTGGTGCAGGGCGCAGAGTTGGAGGGATTGTTGTGTTCAGGCTTCAGGTTTCAGGGGAAGGTTTCCTGAAAACCCTAATCCCTAGCTAGACCCCCCAACTACCCTCTATTATCCCCCAGCACCCACTATTAAGGACCTGCTAAAGGGCCATGGGGGGTCCTGGTATAGCTTATAAACCCTACATAGGCTTAGGTTTTAGGGTTAAACCCAGTCGCATCCCTTTGCTCCGATGTTTGTATAGCTGGCCGAAGGTCATAAAACGCCCCAAACCCAAGGTTTAGGGTTTAGGGTTTAGGGTTTAGGGTTTAGGTTAACCTCGACCGAAACCTTCAAAATCCCTAAACCCCAGACCGAAAAAACCCCAACACTGTCCTGAACCCTTAACCCGAAATCCCCTTACACCAAACCCTTACGAGCCTAAACCAAGACTTCGGCTTTTGAAGGCTCCCTAAACCCTAAACCCTAAACCCTATAAACCCCTAAACCCTATAAACCCATAACCCTAAGAAGTAGGCTCCGCCGCTGGTCGAGTTCTACGGCCAAAGGGTGGCCGAGTTCAGCCGCAGGTCTGGGCGCCTGAGATTCTCGGAGGTCGTTTCGTCAAGTAGGGTTCGGATTAGGGCAGTCAGGGCCCTTAGGGTTTATAAGAGTTGCTATAAGGGGTTTAGGGTTTAGGGTTTTATAAGAGTTGCCATAAGGGGTTTAGGGTTTAGGGTTGTTTATTGGAGTTGCTATAAGGGGTTTAGGGTTTAGGGTTTTATTGGAGTTGCTATAAGGGGTTTAGGGTTTTAAAGGAGTCGCTATAAGGGGTTTAGGGCCCTTTAGTTTTTTTTTAAGAGTCGCTATAAGGCGTTTAGGGCCCCTAGTTTTATTTTTAAGAGTCGCCATAAGGGGTTTAGGGTTTTATAGGAAGGGGTTTAGGGTTCAGGGTTTTATAAGAGTCGCTATGAGGGGGGTTTAGGGCTTGGGTTCAGGGCTCTTGGGCTTAGGGCTTTTGGGTTTCGAGGGTTTCGGCTGTGGGCGCTATAGCTCTGGAGATGCCCGGTTTAGGGCTTAGGGTTTAGGGTTTATAGGGTTTAGGGTTTAGAGGGTTTAGGGTTTAGGGCTTTTAGGGTTTAGGGTTTAGGCCAGCTTTTCCGGTTTTGACATTGCGGCTAATATAGGTGGCCTGAATAATTACCAATACTATTCTGGGGGCGGGTTCCTTATTGTAGTTATAGTATAATATACCCCAAGAGCGCTATTCCAATTATTGAGGCTACTATATTAAATGATTTGGGTTTCCCATTTGGGTTCAGGCATGTTCAGTCTTGTGTGCTGGAGTTAGGCTTTTGTCTAAGTATCCTTACACGGATGGACTCAATCGATCCATTTGGGATCAGACTCCGCCCTTGGCATCGTGGTTGCAATCTCGGCTTCGGCGCAGTTGGCTGCGTCATAGAGCTCGGAATCACACCCTAAACTCGAGAGCTGCCGATCAGTACATTGACGACACCGATGTTTCTTTCTCGGTGGCTTCAGCTGAAGAACATGCCGGGCCACTCTTGGCAGTCGTGTTCTGGGGTGCTCCTAGCCCTAAACCCTAAACCCTAAACCCTAAACCCTAAACCCTAAACCCTAAACCCTAAACCAAAACCCTAAACCCTAGCTATAGGTGGCTGTGACCTGGCGGGCTCGAAGTGAGCGTGGCGACAGCCCTCGAGCCAGGTCACCGATCGGTACTGTCAACTTAGGGGTACGTAGAAATAGTTTTCAATCTTTGGCTACTATAATCCCTAAGAAGCAGCCAAAATTATAAGTTTTGCTAGGGGTCTAAGTTCAGTATAGTCAAGAGGTATAAGACTTGTTGAGGATCGATGTTTTTTGCTTTTCTGGGGCTTTAGGGGTTTAGGGCTTTAGGGGTTTAGGGGTTTGGGGTTTAGGGCTTTAGGGGTTTAGGGCTTTGGGGGTTTAGGGCTTTAGGGATCAGGGTTTAGGGTTTTGAAAGTCAGCAATGTTGGCCATCGTTCTTTGCTTCCCAGCTCGTGTTCGGTGAAGACGAGCAAGACTCCGAGCCCTTGGGCTGTTGGCCTGAGAATCCCCGGTAATGTAGAGGCCTAAATAATTACCACTGCTATTCCTTAAGGGTTCCTTCTAATTGTAATATTAAGGGGCCCAGCCCAAAACCCTATTCTAATTATTCCTTAGGGTTCCTTGTGCTTATAATATTAAGTGGCCCAAAACCTTACTCTAATGATTCAGGCCCCGACAGTAGGATTTTTCTTGCCTTGCTTCCGGCCCTTCCAGTCGAAACCCTGGATCCGGACCCGAGCTTACTGCGAGCTGGAGCCACAAATGCACACACGAAATGCGCGAAATTTAGTCGCGCCCTAGAGCTCCGAATCCAATTCAAAGCCCTCCACCCGAAGCCGTCAATTTAGTCGCTGACACTGGCTAACACCATAAGTCATTGTACTTTCAAGCCTACCTAGACCCCGATTTCTAGTACTGTTCCCAAAAGATACCACACTGCAGGGTTTAGTCAATCTGCAAACGCTTTAATCCACGATATATTGCGCGAGTCCTAGCTGGGATTGGCTTTCGCGTGTTTGAGCTCTCTTTTCTCGTGATGCAGCTTGAGTTCTGTACGCTGCCGTCTGCCAGCTTCACATTCTGTGCGTTGCAGTTGCTGCTCAATACTTAGAAACAATCTTCTTCGAGTTTCCCGAATCTTCTCATAAGCGGGTTTGCCTGCACCCTACAGTACCCCAAGGTCCAGTTACTTACGCAGTAGGCTCTAACTAACCATCTAGTATGTAACAGAATAGCCCATTATTTCGAGAACTGGAGCGCTAGGGTTACTGAGAGCCAGGCAGGGGGAGGCTCTTCTGATTGCGGCGCAGGCGGGTGGTTGCTGCAGATCTTTAGCTTCGCATTTTTTGCGGGAAGGGGTCTGAAGCAGTGGAGTAGAGTAGTTATCATTATACCTTGAACTACCATAACCTACTTTTTTGTAGGTCCTTATTATAAAACCTAATATAGAATTTATAGGGACCCTACAAAAAAGTAGGTTTTGGTAGTTTAAGGTAGTGACTATAGTGACCAGCAGTGAGACCCAGATATACACTCTTCCAATATTCCTAAGGAGCTTTTGCACTGACCAGAACCCGAACCCTAAACCCTAAACC